TTGAAGTGTATTTAGGGTATTCAACTATCATACATTTCAAAAAATTTCCGTAACTTAACCATAAAATTAACGATTTTGAAAAATAATCGCCGTTTTGAGCTTGACAAACTTTAGAATTTTGATAATGAGTGTTTATTAACAGTGCCTGATAATTTGTGTGAATGATTCACCTTAGGTAAGTGTCAAACTGTAATATCAATCTTCTAGTGATGCGTCATGAGTGTACAATTTTGATTTATATAAAAAATAAATTTTTGTGTATATTTATTTTCATTCTTCCTATGCTTTAAAAGCAGTCATGAATTCATTACCACGAATTGCCCGTGTTCAAATCACGTGAATTTTTTCCAACTTTGAATGTTGTTCGTAAGGATTCGTACGCAGCAAACGGTATGTTTGTGTCAAAAAACTAGTTCTTTGAGTCTATTCGTGTGTGGAGTATCTTGTTTTCTAACCAAGTCGCATTATGGAATTATCACTCTATCGCATATGACGATTTTTGTCTTCGAAAAATGTAGCAATGAATCTGTTGTGGTATCTCGTTCCGAGCAAGGGGGTGATTTTTCTGTAACGGTAAAAAGTGTGCCAAACATCTAAGGGACGCGTTTTCGTGTTTTCTCAAAAATTGTATCCATCATTATCACCAATTTATTACTCTGCTATTGGAGAGTCGGAGTAAACCTCAAAGAAAATTAACACTTCTTTATGTAAAACAAAAATAGTTTGACTTCCCTTCAAAAAACCAATAATTCTACTTATGTGTATGTTACTTTGTTTAAGATTCGGCTAAAAAACTCTAATTCCGTATCGTTTAAATACTGAGCTAACCTACGAATTTAATGAACTTTGAAAAGTTAACGAAAGGCCTATAGAAATTATGATTTATATCATGAATGAATTGGGTCGATCTATTCGATTATCTTTATTTCAACAATTTTTCGAACTTTAGAAATACTGACTTCGTATCGATTGTCTTTCTATCTTTATTAAAAATTCAAATTCAACAAATATTTTTGAGGAACCGTCAAAAAACCCCTAGAAATTCATACTCATATCAGTGAGTCAGTCTACTCGATGTTTCCATCTGAATGCCTTTATTGTATTTTACTTTTACCTTAAGGCAATATAGATTATTTAAGCAAGATAAAAATCTAGATTTCCATATATCTCGGAAACTACTCATTTAAAAAGTTGACAACCTTATACAGAATTAACCTTAATTTCAATGTTTAATACGATGAAATCATATAATAGATGGTTTCCACGTGGAGTTTTAAAAGTCCGTAAAAATGTTATGAACATTTGGGTATATAGTATTTGTATAGTGCTTATATCTGACGCATGCCTGTGATGCTATTATTCGTTTTCTTTTTTTTTGTAAATAACACATGCGCCAACAGAAATTGATACTTCAGTTATATTTTATTCTAGGAAACTCATATTCATATTTAAATTCCCCTTCCTCGAGATATACCTGTAAAAATATGTGATGATGGCCCGTCAAAATAATGTAAATGAGCTTAAGAGATAGTGATGTCTAAAAAATTGCTCCCTGATGGTTCCAGTTTTTATTACATTAGCTAATCCGAATATTTTGAAAAGTAATTCAATGTTTTTCGCTGCTCCGTCTGTTTCATGGAAAGCATTTTGAATAATTTGCTACTTTGAAGTCTGGCAAAGCATATTTAAGTAATATTCCTTTTTTTCAGCTCTCTGTAGATGGGGGCAATAAGAAAATCTTTTTTGTTGTATGAATTGCGTAACCGCACTGGTACTAACAAAATTTTCTCATAAGAAATAACGTTGTCTGAACATTGCCGAAATCATGATACAAAAGAAGGTAGGTTCGGTATTCCCCCAAGATTATCGTCCCCTTAACCTGCTGCCTGATCCTTCTAAGTTCGCTGAAAAGGTGATTTATCGTCATCTTGAAAATTTCTCGTCAGATCACCATGTGATTCCTGGTGGACCATGTAACCAAGGGGTTTCCCCTCAACAAAAGTACTGGGATCTTGCTTTTAGATGTATTAAAGGCATTTGACAAGGTGTGACACATGGGCCTCTTGTATAAGCTCATCCAAAAGGGCTTTCCATTTTCGCTACCAAAACTGTTGAAATCTTTTCTAGGAGGAAGGAAATTTTGGATCAAAATTAATAATGTTTTGTCAACAACATAGAGCCGGTGTTCCTTAGGGATCGGTCTTAAGACCAATCCTTCATTCACTTTATATACATGACATCCCTTGCCCCAGCGACTGTGAAGTATATCTCTATGCACTAGTAACCCAGTCGTGGTAAGCTGATTCACGACAGGCTGCAGAGTGCGGTGGAGGAAGTATTGAAGTGGGCGGATCGGTGACTGATCAAAGTTAATAATTCTAAAACGCAGGCAATCTATTGTACTAAAATACGTCGTGGTGCCTCATCAGAGATATCAGTGAATGGAACTCGTATACCATGTTAACAATCTGTCCGGTACCTTGGAGTCATCATTGACATGGGGTTGACCTGGAAGAAACATACAAATATTTTGATAACTAAATTCCACATTACGTTTCGGCAGCTTTATCCTTTGTTGTGCAGAAATTCAAAATTAAATTTGATCAACAAGATTCGGTTATATAAAATGGTCATAAGACCCGCAATGCGCGACTTGGTGCTTTCTTGTCAAGAGACACATGCAGAGACAGAACCCTAAGCACAATCACCAACGCCCCGTGATACGTGTCAAATGAGACCATTCACAGAGATCTTGATATCCTATATCTAAGGGATTTTGTAAAACAACAACGGCGTTATAATCAAGCCGAATCGCACAGCAAACCTCTGTTGCGTGATACAGTAGACTATACAGCCAGTTCGCAAACATTCCAGGCCGCGCCTTGCACTGTGATCAAACTTGAATTGTGAATTTCAAACCGCCCAAAATTATTTCAGAATTTAAAACCGATAAAAAATACGTTTTGGAGTTACAAAATTATTGGAGTAGTCCAAACCAATAATGCCTAAGCTATTGCAAATGATTTACTTCTTTTCTTTGCTCTATTTCTTCCTTCTTTCCCTTTTCCCCTTAAACATGTTTGATATCTGGGTAGCCAGACCTGACAGACTAACAGACCGACGATACTTTTAACTAAGAGCAAAGGTCCACCGGACCGCTCTGACGAATAGTCTGTTTGACTCACTTGATCCGTTTAATTCCTCTGTTTTAGATATGTTTGTAGCTAACCTTTTTTCCCACAGAACATAATTTTGCAGTCGGCCTACTTGACGCCATTTTTGTTTGGAATGAGCGAAAAAATGACAGGAGCGAAAAACTTAATAATAATAATAATAATGCCTTTATTAGCTGCAGTGAGGCGAAGTTTAGCCAGACGGCTACTCTTGCACCCAACCCCACAACAGGAAAAAAGAATACTTAAACACATAAACAAAATAATAACATACCAAAAAAATACAATTCATAAGAATGACAACATTGATTGCACGAGACAAATGCAGATAGTATTGCGAGTTTTAAATTTGAAACAAAATAGTAGAAAATAGTCAAACAAAAAAAAGCACATGAACACAAGAAAAACTGAACTAAATGGACTCCAGCAGCTGACTTTTCATTAATTTCTCAAAAGAAGCAACCTGTTTGGATCGATAGCCACTGTTGACTGCATTGTAATGCTTGACAGCATTATAGGTGTAACTTCTTTCAAAGACCGAGGTATTGTGAGAAGGCATGTTAAAATTAGCATTAAATCTAAGAGCTCTGGTAACAAAACTACCTCGGTGAACTAATTTGCTAGCGAGGTAAGCTGGTCTGTTAGATAACAGAACTTGGGTGAAGACGGTCAAAAGATATAAAAATAACTTGTCAATTCTCAGCCAGTTGAGTTCTTTGATTTTATCTGAGACGCGACTAAATTTGCGCAATCCAAAAATAAACCTACAACAGTTGTTCTGAATTTTCTGGAGTTTCCTTTTGTAGACGTAGTCTAAACATGGGTAATAAAAAACAAGAGAGTAAGAAATGACAGACAACACAAGACTTTCAGCGAGCTTCTTTCGGGTTTTAAAATTCAAGATGAATCGATTAGAATAGAGGAGTTTCAAACGCATGTACGTTACTCTAGATAAGAAAGAGACATGCCGATAGAATCTCATATTTAAGTCAAGGGTAACACCGAGATTCTTGGCGTAATCCACAAAAGGGATGAGTGTCTCATCCAAAACAACACAAATCCTCTGCTTCATGTCACTGTAGGAGTTCTTCGAACAGTACAACATTGCAGTAGTTTTATTAGGATTGATCTTCAAGCAGTGTTTGTTACAGTAATCACTGATGTTAGCCAAATCTAAATTAACTTTAAAAGAAGCTTCATCAACCCTTGATGGATCGAAACCAAACACTAAGAGCCGGTCCACACGGCGCGTTGCGTTGCGTTGCGTCGTCGCAACGCAAATATTTTGACGCATAGCCGGCCACACAGGCGCTGCGCCATCACAGCGTTACTGTGACGCAGTCTTAACGTTCCGTCGGCGCAGCGACGACGCACAGGTGCGGCAAGCATTTTGTAAAAATATCGCAGTCAGTCTATAGGAAAGCATGGATCGGAAAAGACGTCTAGCATTGCTCCTATTACTGCGTCACCGCCGAAATCGACGCAAGATCACAAGACGGTATTGGGTCTGTCCTTTCATTGCATTAAGAAATAGTGATGGACAGTTTTTTTTTGTTAGAATATCGGGAGCTGCTATTAGACGAAAAGAAGTTTTATAACTTTTTTAGAATGAGTGTATCCAGCTTCGAATGTTTATGAAGTCCGTAGAACCACACATATGAAAAAACTATACTAATATGAGGAATCCAGTGGAACCAGTAGAAATGCTGGGAATTACTTTAAGGTAATAATTTATATAAGTAATTAAAAGATAACAGTTTTTGTAATTTGTTTAATTAGTAATCAACTCAAGTTTACAGATTATTTAAGAGGGACTTAATCCAGTAATTACAAATTACAAAAATCGTATTCGGTTTCTTCACTTGCTTGAGATGTTTGATCTGGAGATGTAATTGAATTATTATTATCAGAATTGAATGTACTTTGAAAATTGCTTGTTTGATACCCATATGATAATGGTTGGTGAGACGTTGATGGGCCACTCACATATGATGTTGTTTGTCCATACCGCATTTCGTCTATCATTTGTATTACTTGACTTTGGAAACGGAGAGTTTGTCGGTCGGAAAAATCTTGAATTGATGGCAATATACCTCTGAAAAAGGACATATGGCGATTATCCGGCTCCTTGAGAAGTTTTAGCCCTTCTCTTTCAAACTCATCCATTTGCATTGCCCTTTTGCGCGCGACTGGAACATAGCGCGGAGAGTCGTCTGTGGTAATATCATCATTTGTAGACGTAGATTCATTGTTGATTTCTCTAGGCGAGTCTAAGCTAGATTCGGTGGCATTTTGTTCCACTCTTCTCAAAAAAAGAAGTTGATTATATAAATGATACTTTTTCAGTTTCGTAGCGCCCGAGCCCGATTTTGATGCTTCTTTTAATTTTTTTGAATATCTGAAGTAATTATCTTTTACACTTCTCCATTTCGTCATTAAATCATTACCTGCAAAACCAATAGTAAACATGATTTAATAAGTTATACATCGTGAATTACTCGATAAAATTTAATGACATATTCAGATATCGATAACAAACACTATGTGACCAACTCTGGAATCGTGAAAATATAACAGCTGTTACATACAAAAATCAATACCTAGTGAATCAAAATGTATGCAACAGCTGTTATTTTTTTCGTGATTGCAGAATTAATTGGTCACGTAGAGAAGTTGTTTGTTATCGATGTCTGAATATGTCAGTATTTTTTTTTCGGGTATCTATCTATCTCATAAATGCATATTAAAATAATTATTTTCGTTTCAGATACCTAGGAAGTGGAAATTCAATAACCGATTTACATTTGAAATTCAAACGGGGAAAATCTACTATTGCATATATGATACAAAGAGTTTGTCGTGCTATCTGGACCAATCTTCTTCGAGACAACATCCCTGAACTAACAATTGAAAGTTTCCAAACAATAGCGAGGGATTTTGATGTAAAGGCAAATTTTCCTCACTGTGTTGGTGCCATCGACGGCAAACACATCCGTGTGTGTAATCCTGCACATAGTGGCTCACTTTTTTATAATTATAAAGCCTTTTTTTCGATTGTGTTGCTAGCTATTGTGGATTCAAATTACAAATTCGTTTTTGTCGACATCGGTGCATACGGAAAAGAATGCGATTCAACCATATTACTAAATTCTAAACTGTACGAGCTAATGATTAACAACAACTTACCACTACCTCAACCCCAGCCACTCTCTGGTAGCAATATACCAACCTCGTATGTATTTGTGGGTGACGAAGCTTTTGGACTGAGCAAACATATTATGCGTCCATATGGTGGTAAATATCTTGACTTACAACAAAAGGTTTTCAATTATCGTCTAAGCAGGGCCAGAAGATATGTCGAATGCGCTTTTGGGATTATGGCAAACAAATGGCGCATTTTTCACAGACCGATAGACGTGTCCTATGACTTCGCTACTGACATAATAAAAGCATGTTGTGTACTACACAATTTTGTCGCTGATCGAGATGGTTTTAGACAAAGAGATACATTTGCTATAAGTGTTGATGAATTTCTCCCAATACAACCCGCAGATGAAGAACAGACAGCACCGAATGTCATAAGACAGCATTTTGCGACCTATTTTATGACTAGAGGAACTCTGCCTTGGCAACTAAAGAAGGTATAATAGTATTAAATAAAAAAAACAATAAATATCTGTACTGTGAACTCACCAACTTTGTTTTTTCGTTCAGCTGTGAAATTCTCGTAATCAGGAAATAAAACCTTTGATATTTCTTCCCAGGCTTTTGTTTTTAAATTTTTATTTTTAAAATCTACGTTTGACTTGTCCCATATAATTTCCCTTTCCTGAATCAATGTTATGAAGTAATCCATGTCAATTTCTTCAATGTAATTCATTTTATCCTGCTTATAAAACTGAATACAAAAACGTAACGTACTTAAAATGAAATGAGCTTGCGTGTATCCTCTCTGTCAACGCACAAGCAACTGAGCGCTGCCGTTCCGACGTCGCACGAGTACACCCCCTCCCGCTTCGTCTCGGGGGCTGCTGTCCGTCATGTGTGCGTTGCGACGACGCAGCGCGCCGTGTGAACACCTTGGTTATTGGCATTGGCAAGGACAGCGCTGCGTCGACGCAACGCTGACGCAACGCGCCGTGTGGACCGGCTCTACTGAGTATTATCTGCATAAGTTTGCATACTACAGTGGACTAAACAGTCTTCCAGATCGATCGTATAAATCAGATATAGTAGGGGACCTAATACTGAGCCCTGAGGAACTCCTGAAGGAACTGGCTCAGAGGAGGAAATTCCCTGATCAGTTTTCACTGTTTGTTGAGGATTTAGCAAGTATGACTCAAAGAACCTTAGAACTATATCTGACATTCCATAATGAGATAACTTACTCAGTAGTATCTGGTGATTGACCATATCAAAGGCTTTCGAGAAATCTAACAGTACCAAGACGGTGTTGATGTGATTATCTAAATTGTGAATGATGGAATCAGTAAGATGTAAAAAAGACGAAGTAGTGCTGTAACCAGCTCTGAAACCTGACTGATGTAGAGGAAATAATTCTGACGACTTTTCGCGTGGGCGGCAAGTTTATTATAGGGTCCGTAGCAATATATGATTACGGAAAAATCTAATAAGGATATTTTCAATGAAGATGTCCTTTTAATATGTCCTGAATATTTAATATAAGCCTAGCAGCCTGTATATTGCACACCTTTTGGCACTCGTCTGGCAATTTCGCAATCGCCTTGCAATTATATTTGTCTACTTCGTGATAAATGAACTAAATTATGTATATTAAGATTTGAAGCTTAAACAAGTTTTACTTTATATTTTTTACATTTTCAGAAATATATGAATATAATAAAAAATGGGAATGCTTAAAAGCAACTGTTACCTGCCCGAGGTTGCCGCTAACGTGCTTAACATGCTATGAATCATCTATAAAAAAATTCCAGCTTTTAATTACAACCATTTATGCATGATCTCGCGGTCTAGAAACTGAATAAAACTGTTTCATCGAAAAGGTTTTTCCGAGGATTTTTGCTATACTTAATTTACAAATTGGATACACGGATAACCTTGCTAATGTTAGACGCCAGGTATATTGCCTGTACTATAAGAACAGGTTTGCTTCAAACATGACTAAGTAATCGTGACATGCGTACGGAATTCCGAAAACACATCTGAAATCGACACATAATCATCAACAACATTCATCAAAACCAGAAATGCAGAATCTTCATTCACATTCATGTTATAACGTTCGATGAACATCGTAAAAATGTACGAGTGCACATTGCAACTGTTTTGTCTTTGTTTGTTACTAGTGCTAGTAGATGTTGCAGTAGTGTTTGCTGGAAATGGTTTATTTTTCAGCTCTGAAGAAGGTAGGTTGGTGAGTTTTATGCCATAATAGAAGTCTGATTGTGTTGATATCTATGGGTAAGACGTCAATGGTTGATATCCACAGATGTCTCCTTTGTGCACCTTTTCCGAGCCAAAACACACGTTGATTCCACAGTAATTCTTGTTCAGTTAGTATACTAGAAGCAGCCCCAAAAAATTGTAAAGATTGCAAGATCTCGTGTAGGTTCTAAAATATGCGTATATAGTAGCGAATTTCATGCAGCAAGAATACCTGGTCCTCTAATTCTTTTAGGCTGCTTGTCGCAATTCAGAATTGAGTGTTAGTCAAAGAGCAACATGCGTTTAGAACCTTAAGCTACCTTTGAATGAATGTCGACCGAATATCATGTTCAAAAAAAATTAGTCAATATTAAAAGCTTTTCCGATTTTTGAAAACCGCTTACTTCGAATAAGATACAAACCTAACAAATGTTTTGTTGTTAGCAATAATATCGCATGTGAAATTTCGCGATTTACAGAAACCACTTAAATCAAGACCAATTTACTCGTCATATACTGACAAACTCTTTCTAGTTAGGGCTTGGTCCCACTGAGCCAAATTCATATGATCACTCGTAAGTTTTTAACAGAAACGTACGGAGAGATCGTTGAACAAGTCGAGAGTCTATACAGGTTGTTTGGAATAAACACCAATTTATATTCAGTATATGTCAGTATTTGCACCAATTACTTGATTTGTTTAATGGGTAGTTCAGAGTCTTAATCCCTAAACTTAGTACACACTAGTAGACCCCGTTGCGCAATTTATCTATAGGCAGTCTGGAGACGGTCTCAAGACACGCTCTATAGATGGTCTATACTATGGACATCCTTCTTTGTCTCGGTCTCATTTTCGTTTTCGCCATCAAATACATTGTTTTGTGTGGATTGGACTGGGATATTTCTCGAGTTCCCTCAGAGCGTTTCATTTTTTTTTCGAGAGAGCAATGAAGTTTTTGTTTTAATCTTTAATATTATTACACTAGTTAATGAAAAATGGCATATAATAAAATATTGCCTTCCTGAGGATTTCTGAGCATTTTCCATGTTTTTTTTTTCAAGCTGACATTGACCAGATAGAAAAATTACCAGCCCCAAATATCGTTTGCGCCTTCCCCTAAACGGAATCCTAAATCCACCCTTGCCGGATATGTAATACTGGTGCTAACATACTGTATGACGTTTGAAGAGTTATTTTATTTTTACTGTTGCTACTACTATAATATACAATCGAATACTTCATACTGAAAAGATAAATCTAGTCGCAAACATCCTAGGTTATTTCCTATGTGACTATCTAAACATGACCCTAGAGTACCTAAAATAATTCGGCAGTCCATCAAGAAAAGATTGCGTCTTTACATTCTAGCTAGAGCTTGTCATTTTGAACAGTTTCTATAAGTTAAGAAGCTTCTCACGAATAAAAATATTGGTAAATTTAGAAATATTAATTTTTGTGCATGTTTACACCCTGTATAATTCCCTCAACTTGGCTCTTTAACAATAATTTGTACGATGCAGGAGATGCTTGCGATTCAGATAACGGTCATAAAGGGATTTGCAAGCTATTGGAAGACTGCCCAGCGGCTGTTCAAAGAATAAAAGAAGGGATATTCCCAGAAATATGCGGTTTTGTCGGCACTCAATCTTTTGTTTGCTGTGAGAATAAAAATACACCAAAAGAAACAGAACCAACTTCTAAAAAGGAGACCGGAATAAAATCTAAAGAAAGTGAGTACTTATTTATTAAAAGATGGCGCTAATATTTCTGGGTTGAGGATATATCCAAAAATAAAACAAATGATTACTCGTATTGTTTCTGCTTCTTTAACGAGGTTCAGGGTATTGAGAAGATGTACTTACCAAGTGGAGAACAAATGATATCTTCGAAGCGGATAGATATCAACTAAAAAAATGGGCAGTATACCATAAGCAATATACATGAAATGCTTGCTGCTATACTCTTTAGGAAATTTTTGTCGGACGCTGTATTGTTACTCGGATGAACCCTCTAATTTGTAGGATCAGGGATGTAGATACTGTGACTCGGCAAGAGCTATTTTAAAACATCAGGGATGGATCTGGAACATATTTTCGGAGGGAGGGGGGCCCATATTATGAATTTGAGATTACCCACTCAGAAAAGTCTATTACATAGTCCTCAATATTTGTCTGGCCGCTAAATGAAACCATTTACCTATGCTAGAAATACTGTTTACTGACTACCTTCGACCATAACGGTGGTATTTTTGAAGTACAATTGACAATTGAAAAGACCACTGTTGAAGCCGAAACGTCGTCGTCTGTAAACAGTATTTCAACCACATGTGGTTTCATTTAGCGGCTAAACATGGATGATGATCAGCATGAAAACCACAGGATAAGTTTCAGGTGTTACATTAGGCCAATAACAATTGCGAAGTACAAGTTGAAGTGATGTGTGAAGTTTAGAATTGAAAACCACGTTCAAAATTTTTGAGGACTCAGATATTTCGGGTGTGGCCCGGACCCCAAGACATCCCCTAGATCCGACCCTGAAACCCATATATTTTTATTGGAAACACCATTTTTCAAAAACACTTCTTTTAATAGAATCTACAAGACCAATTCCTTGCGTTCGCGGGAGAAATCTTCCGATTCGATTTTTTTCATAATCACATTTATGGGATGCCGCTTATCATGAGCCAAGTGTAAGCGAAAGCCCAGTACAAACAATTCTTTCAAATTACAAAAATTGGTTATTTTTGCTCCGGGCGTTTTTTAAGATGTTTTGACTTGTTCTAAACAAAAAAGTTCCTTCGTGCCTTTTCGCTAAAGCTGACCGTTTCCAGTTATAAGCTATTTCAGATACTGAAAAATTCTAAAAATAGCCATTTTCACTGGCGTTGTTAACATTTAAAAAAACAGTAGATACCTTAAAATAAACTAAGAACTAATCCCAAACTATCCTTCGGGGTCTTGTTTTATTTTTAATTTAGACACTTGATAACCTCAAAAATGATGGGTTTCAACAGAGTTGATGAGCTTCAAAATGGCCAATTCGAGGGTATTTAGATTTCATGGCCTTATTTTCTCAAAGAACTTTCATCTTAAGGGGCATCCAAAAAATGCGAATTTGTCGTTTTGTCAATTCGCCGGCGCCGCAAGTTACTTTTAATAAGAGCACATCCAACATTCTGTCATTGTAACTAATGATCTGAATGGACGATGTCTAATTCACATACCAAGTTGCAGAAAAAACAGACTAATGGTTCCCAATTTTAGAATGTAACCAGTATGGGGAATATGCATACGAAGTCAAGGAATCCCCGACTTTAACAGTTGATACGCAGATGTCAAAAGTCTTGGAGTGTACTTTTGAAAGGGAACCATTGATTGTAGGTGGAACGGAAGCCAGTCGACGAGAATTTCCTCATATGGTAAGATATATATACTAACAATTATCACTCCTATTAGAGTTGCAAGAATGATTAT